GTGTAAGAGTGTTTCTGCGTAAAAAGTGATTTGTGGTGTGACAGATGTCTTCAGGTGTAAGAGTGGTTTCTGGTGTAAGAGTGTTTCTGGTGTAAGAGTGTTTTCTGGTGTAAGAGTGTTTTCTGGTGTAAGAGTGTTTTCTGATGTAACAGTATTTTCTGGTGTAACAGTATTTTCTGGTGTTAACAGTGTTTCTGGTGTAAGAGTGTTTTCTGGTGTAAGAGTGTTTTCTGGTATAAGAGTGTTTCTGGTGTAACAGTGTTTTCCGGTGTAAGAGTGTTTTCTCGTGCAACAGTGTTTTCTGGTGTAACAGTGTTTTCTGGTGTAAGAGTGGTTTCTGGTTTAAGAGTGTTTTCTGGTGTAAGAGTGTTTTCTGGTGTAACAGTGTTTTCTGGTGAAACGTTTGCTTGTGGTGTAACAGTGTTTTCTGGTGTAACAGTGTTTTCTGGTGGAAGAGGGTTTTCTGGTGTAAGAGTGTTTTCTCGTGTAAGAGTGTTTTCCGGTATAAGAGTGTTTCTGGTGTAAGAGTGGTTTCTGGTGTAAAAGTGATTTTTGGGGTAACCGTGTGTTCAGGTGTAAGAGTGGTTTCTGGTGTAAGATTGTTTCTGGTGTAAGGGTTTTTCTGGTGTAAGAGTGTTTCTGGTGTAAGAGTGTTTTCTGGTGTAAAAGTGATTTGTGGTGTGACAGTGTGTTCAGGTGTAAGAGTGGTTTCTGGTGTAAGAGTGTTTCTGGTGTAAGAGTGTTTTCTGGTGTAAGAGTGTTTTCTGGTGTAAGAGTGTTTTCTGATGTAACAGTATTTTCTGGTGTAACAGTATTTTCTGGTGTTAACAGTGTTTCTGGTGTAAGAGTGTTTTCTGGTGTAAGAGTGTTTTCTGGTGTAAAAGTGATTTGTGGTGTGACAGTGTCTTCAGGTGTAAGAGTGGTTTCTGGTGTAAGAGTGTTTCTGGTGTAAGAGTGTTTCTGGCGTAAGAGTGTTTTCGTAAGAGCAAAGTGTTTTCTGATGTAACAGCATTTTCTGGTGTAACAGCATTTCTGGTGTTAACAGTGTTTCTGGTGTAAGAGTGTTTTCTGGTGTAAGAGTGTTTTCTGGCATAAGAGTGTTTCTGGTGTAACAGCAGTTTTCCGGTGTAAGAGTGTTTCTCGTGCAACAGTGTTTTCTTAATGTAACAGTGTTTTCTGGTGTAAGAGTGGTTTCTGGTTTAAGAAGTGTTTTCTGGTGTAAGAGTGTTTTCTGGTGTAACAGTGTTTTCTGGTGAAACGTTTGCTTGTGGTGTAACAGTGTTTTCTGGTGTAACAGTGTTTTCTGGTGGAAGAGGGTTTTCTCGTGTAAGAGTGTTTTCTCGTGTAAGAGTGTTTTCCGGTATAAGAGTGTTTCTGGTGTAAGAGTGGTTTCTGGTGTAAAAGTGATTTTTGGTGTAACCGTGTGTTCAGGTGTAAGAGTGGTTTCTGGTGTAAGATTGTTTCTGGTGTAAGGGTTTTTCTTGTGTAAGAGTGTTTCTGGTGTAAGAGTGTTTTCTGGTGTAAAAGTGATTTGTGGTGTGACAGTGTGTTCAGGTGTAAGAGTGGTTTCTGGTGTAAGAGTGTTTCTGGTGTAAGAGTGTTTTCTGGTGTAAGAGTGTTTTCTGGTGTAAGAGTGTTTTCTGATGTAACAGTATTTTCTGGTGTAACAGTATTTTCTGGTGTTAACAGTGTTTCTGGTGTAAGAGTGTTTTCTGGTGTAAGAGTGTTTTCTGGTGTAAGAGTGTTTTCTGGTGTAAGAGTGTTTTCCGGTATAAGAGTGTTTCTGGTGTAACAGTGTTTTCCGGTGTAAGAGTGTTTTCTCGTGTAACAGTGTTTTCTGGTGTAAGAGTGGTTTCTGGTTTAAGAGTGTTTTCTGGTGTAAGAGTGATTTCTGGTGTAAGGTGTTTTCTGGTGTAACAGTGGTTTCTTGTGTAACAGTGGATTCTGGTGTAACAGTGTTTTCTGGTGTAACAGTGATTTGTGGTGTAACAGTGTTTTCTGGTGAAAAAGTGTGTCTGGTGTAAGAGTGTTTCTGGTGTAACAGTGTTTTCTGGTGTAAGAGTGGTTTCTGGTGTGAGAGTGTTTTCTGGTGTAAAAGTGTTTTCTGGTGTTACAGTATTTTCTGGTGTAAGTGTTTTCTGGTGAAAGAGTGTTTCTGGTGTAAGAATGTTTCTGGTGTAAGATTGTTTCTGGTGTAACAGTGTTTTCTAGTGTAAGATTGTTTCTGGTGTAAGAGTGTTTCTGGTGTAAGAGAGTTTCTGGTGTAAGAGTGTTTCTGGTGTAAGAGTGTTTTCTGGTGTAAAATTGTTTCTGGTGTAAGAGTGTTTCTGGTGTAAGATTGTTTCTGGTGTAAGAGTATTTCTGGTGTAAGAGTGTTTCTGGTGTAAGAGTGGTTTCTGGTGTAAAAGTGATTTTTGGTGTAACCGTGTGTTCAGGTGTAAGAGTGGTTTCTGGTGTAAGATTGTTTCTGGTGTAAGGGTTTTTCTGGTGTAAGAGTGTTTCTGGTGTAAGAGTGTTTTCTGGTGTAAAAGTGATTTGTGGTGTGACAGTTTGTTCAGGTGTAAGAGTTGTTTCTGGTGTAAGAGTGTTTCTGGTGTAAGAGTGTTTTCTGGTGTAAGAGTGTTTTCTGGTGTAACAGTGTTTTCTGATGTAACAGTATTTTCTGGTGTAACAGTATTTTCTGGTGTTAACAGTGTTTCTGGTGTAAGAGTGTTTTCTGGTGTAAGAGTGTTTTCTGGTGTAAGAGCGTTTTCCGGTATAAGAGTGTTTCTGGTGTAACAGTGTTTTCCGGTGTAAGAGTGTTTTCTCGTGCAACAGTGTTTTCTGGTGTAACAGTGTTTTCTGGTGTAAGAGTGGTTTCTGGTTTAAGGGTGTTTTCTGGTGTAAGAGTGTTCTGGTGTAACAGTGTTTTCTGGTGTAAGAGTAATTTCTGGTGTAAGAGTGTTTCTGGTGAAACACTGTTTTCTGGTTTAAGAGTGTTTTCTGGTGTAAGAGTGATTTCTGGTGTAAGGTGTTTTCTGGTGTAACAGTGGTTTCTTGTGTAACAGTGGATTCTGGTGTAACAGTGTTTTCTGGTGAAAAAGTGATTTGTGGTGTAACAGTGTTTTCTGGTGAAAAAGTGTGTCTGGTGTAACAGTGTTTCTGGTGTAACAGTGTTTTCTGGTGTAAGAGTGGTTTCTGGTGTAAGAGTGTTTTCTGGTGTAAAAGTGTTTTCTGGTGTTACAGTATTTTCTGGTGTAAGTGTTTTCTGGTGAAAGAGTGTTTCTGGTGTAAGATTGTTTCTGGTGTAAGAGTGTTTCTGGTGTAAGAATGTTTCTGGTGTAAGATTGTTTCTGGTGTAAAAGTGTTTCTAGTGTAAGATTGTTTCTGGTGTAAGAGTGTTTCTGGTGTAAGAGAGTTTCTGGTGTAAGAGTGTTTCTGGTGTAAGAGTGTTTTCTGGTGTAAGAGTATTTCTGGTGTAAGAGTGTTTCTGGTGTAAGAGTGGTTTCTGGTGTAAAAGTGATTTTTGGTGTAACCGTGTGTTCAGGTGCAAGAGTGGTTTCTGGTGTAAGATTGTTTCTGGTGTAAGGGTTTTTCTGGTGTAAGAGTGTTTCTGGTGTAAGAGTGTTTTCTGGTGTAAAAGTGATTTGTGGTGTGACAGTGTCTTCAGGTGTAAGAGTGGTTTCTGGTGTAAGAGTGTTTCTGGTGTAAGAGTGTTTTCTGGTGTAAGAGTGTTTTCTGGTGTAAGAGTGTTTTCTGATGTAACAGTATTTTCTGGTGTAACAGTATTTTCTGGTGTTAACAGTGTTTCTGGTGTAAGAGTGTTTTCTGGTGTAAGAGTGTTTTCTGGTATAAGAGTGTTTCTGGTGTAACAGTGTTTTCCGGTGAAAGAGTGTTTTCTCGTGCAACAGTGTTTTCTGGTGTAACAGTGTTTTCTGGTGTAAGAGTGGTTTCTGGTTTAAGAGTGTTTTCTGGTGTAAGAGTGTTTTCTGGTGTAACAGTGTTTTCTGGTGAAACGTTTGCTTGTGGTGTAACAGTGTTTTCTGGTGTAACAGTGTTTTCTGGTGGAAGAGGGTTTTCTGGTGTAAGAGTGTTTTCTGGTGTAAGAGTGTTTTCCGGTATAAGAGTGTTTCTGGTGTAACAGTGTTTTCCGGTGTAAGAGTGTTTTCTGGTGTAAAAGAGTTTCTGGTGTAAGAGTGTTTCTGGTGTAAGAATATTTTCTGGTGTAACAGTGTTTTCTGGTGTAAGGTAGTTTTCTGGTGTAACAGTCTTTTGTGGTGTAAAAGTGTTTTCTGGTTTAAGAGTGTTGTCTGGTGTAAGAGTGTTTTCTGGTGTAAGATTGTTTTGTGGAGTAATAGTTTTCTCGTGTAAGAGTGTTTTCTGGTGTAAGAGTGGTTTCTGGTGTAACATTTTTTTCTGGTGTAATTTAACTGTGTTTTCTGGTGTAACAGTGGTTTCTGGTGTAACAGTGTTTTATACTGTTTGCAACGGTGATTGTAGTTGTAGGATATGTGACTTTACAAGAGTGTCGATAAATATTCTAAAATAAGTTCTCGGAAGAAGGTGATAGGTTTTGAAATTGGATCTGTTAGCAAAGGGTAGCCAGTGAATTTCTGGAAATACTAGAGGGAGATGCTGCTTTCATTTGCATCTTGTCAATATTCGGGACGATGCGTTTAGAGTGAGTAAGTGAGTGAGAATGGTTTTACGGGGATTTTAGCAATATTTCAGCAATATCACGGCGGGGGACACCAGGTATGGGCTTCAGCTGCGTTTGGAAGAAACTGAAGACTGTGATATTGATGATGAGACACCAAGAAATGTTCATAATCTATCCAGGATATGACGAGTGCTCTTGTATTCTCAAACAGATAACGAATGGGTTTGCGGATCTGAAGAAAAGTTTGATATGCACGTTCATGGTAATACTATTGTTTTAGCACTCCATTAATTCTGAATGGCAACAATATCAAGAAAGCAGGGGCGTTTGACCTTTCGAAAATAGAAAGCAAACTCCAGAATGTATTCATAACTTGTATTTAATTATGAATCTTCAGGCACATGGGATACATCAATTAAAACGGCTTCATGGAAACTCGTCACTTCGGAATAATAAGAGCCGATTAGACTCTCCGTTTGAGTCGAGTTTACAACCTGAACTTCTTTCCCCTTTTGCTCCATCGTCACCTTCATTCTGTGAAACAGAATATGATTATACTGTTTATATCATGAGAATTTTCATTAGAAAATAATATTGTTATTTACTATGATATCATATAGATAGCATCTAAGGCTGTACCTGTACTCACATAATTGCTTTCATTTGACTGTTTTTCAGTCATTTGACATCGTGTACATTTAAAACGAGAGCCAACGCAGTTGTCACATTAGTGGTAACTATGGTAACTAACAACAAAACACATGTTATCGTTTTTCATTCAGATCGAATAAATGGTGTTTATCGCCTGTCAACAACATTACAGTTACTGCATGAACGCCGTCAAATGAAATCCCTAAGGATAAATGACATAAAATTGTGTGAAAGAGGCGACTAATGGGATCGGGTTGCCAGGCTCGCTGATTTGGTTGATCATCGTATCCCAACTGGGCGATGTCATTCACTGGATTATCTGCTCACCATTCAATTATTTATAATAGATCATATAGATGACGGTGTTAAACAATAAACAAACAATTGTTAAGATGGCGCTCTGGAAAGCTACACTTTACAAACTAAATATGTGCAGTTTGGAAAATTTCATACACTAGAACCCCAAGCAGTGGCCATTGCTAAGAGCCATAATTTATGGCGAGTAGCTGGTAAACTGGGTGTATTTAATCCAGCAATTGTGATTGAGATAGGCAGAATGGATCCATCATCAGTACATATACGTACCTGTGGAAGATGAAACCGACAATAATGAAGGTAATTACTGCAGCTAATACAGCAATTGCTGTTGAAAAGTATGGGGATATTGCCCATCTGTCACTGGAGGATGGTGACGGCATTGCAAGGTGTTGGTGTGGCTCTGAAACAGGAACTAGATCTATATATCGCACACACATTTCATTTGTTCAAATAAAGCATAAACATACCTGTGATAATTATTTAGCGTGTATTTTAAATACTTTTGTGTACAAAATTGATGACCCCCCACCCTAGTACATGTGTACACAATTGATGACCCTTCCTGCCTCCCCATAACAGTTAATGAGTGATCCCACCCGTGAATATCATCATTATCACACACATTCCCCAGCCCAAAATTATGAACGATGAACGACGGATTTGAAGTAAAAAGTATTTTATAAGTGTGCTATATAGTTAGCAACGAAGAACTGGGATTGTGGACTAGAAAATATGTTTATATGTGTTCAAACCATATTGTTTTAAAATAATTATATTACATCTGTTTGTAGCATTCCTGTCAGCACCTTACCTCGACTGCTGTGTGACATGTTGATGTTGCTGGTGTGAATCTTGCGTGTGTTGTTACCGTGTGTCTGCCTTAATGCCACAGGCATTTTGTTTTTCTTCAGGCTTAGGTCAATAGCATCAGAAGAGTTAGACAAGCACTCTCCAGTGCTTTTGTCACACTTAGAACATGGATATAGACATCGTTGTAAGCATTCAGGTCCATAGAATCCATCCCTGCATTGTCCCACACAATCTCCCGTGTATCTGTCACACTCCAGACACGGACGCTTACACCTAGTACTACATGTTAACCCCCTCCACCCCAACACACACCCCTCCGTACAGTTGACGGCTCGACCATTGGCCAGTAGGGCACACCGCCCATGTAAACAGTTTCCTCGGCAGCTCCGTCTACAGTCAGGCCCATAGAAGCCGCTGACACAGTCAGTACATTCCTCGGGCCATTGGTTCTCGGGACAGTGTTCCTTACAGCCAGCCTTCACGACTCGACGAGCCTTAGACACGCACTTGGCGTCAACTGTCAAATACGATAGTACATTATTGAAACTAGCTATTACTCTGCCAATCATTTTTGACTTTGTATTTGATATATACGGTTTTGTGTTACAACATGTAACATACTTTACAAGACAAATTTATCAGAGGGACATATGCAGAAACAGTACAGTATGTGTACATATCTTTGTGATATAGTGCTGGAATGTTTCAAATATCTTTGTTGTATATTTCGTTTATTATCCCAGACAACAATAAAAATAAAGAACATAGACTATTCTTTTATTTACATATAACGTTTACAAAGTAATTATTTCCGTTATGTATAGCATACCATAAATAGTGTGGAATTTGTTATTTGAACATACCAGTAGATTGTACATTTTCATTAGAATTAAGGTAAAATATTTATGTAAAGGTATATTGGGTTAACTGTTTCAGTATTTTGCTATGATATATTGCATACTATAAATAGTGTTGAATTTGTTATTTGAAAATAGATTGTACACTTTCATTAGGATGAAGCTAAAATATTTATGTAAAAGTATATTCGGTTAGTTGTTTCAGTACTTTCATTGGAATTTGTTAGCTAAAATTTACACTTTTAATGCTAAAATATATTTACAAACATATTGGGTTAATGATACATTTTTCAGTATTTTGCCATGATATATTGCATAGCATTTACCATTAGTGTGGAAATTTGTTATTTGAAGAAAATAGATTGTACATTGCATACTATAAATAGTGTGGAATTTGTTAATAGATTTAGCATTAGGATGAAAATATTTATTGTTTGTAAAACAATAATGATTTGTTAATTTCTTTCAATATTTTGGGTTAATTTCTTTCTATGAAATACTGCATACCATAAATAGTGTGGAATTTGTTCTTTGAAAATAGATTTACACTTTCATTAGGGTGAAGCTAAAATATTTATGCAAAAGTATATTGGGTTAATTGTTTCAGTATTTTGCTACGACATATTGCATGCAATAAATAGTGTTGAATTTGTTATTTGAAAATAGATTGTACACTTTCATTAGGATGAAGCTAAAATATTTATGTAAAAATATATTGGGTTAATTTTTTCAGCATTTTGCTATGATATATTGCATAGCATATATAGTGTGGAATTTGTTATTTGAAAATAGATTGTACACTTTCATTAGAATGAAGCTAAAATATTTATGTAAAGATATATTGGTTTAAATGTTTCCGCTTTTATAAAATGTTTAACGGTTCAAATAAACTTGCGCATTAGTCAACTTGATGTATATCCATTGCTTCTCACTTGATGACGCGTGAGGAGGGTATTGTTTGAAATTATCGAATTTAACATTATACATTTTGCACAATTTCACTGACTTAAAAAGTCACTTCTAAGTTTCTAAAAAGTATAAAATATATTTTCTTTGGTTGAGAGTCAGATATCTGTTTTTGTCTTCAAATAGTGAACAAAGTTATTGTCTCTAACAAATATAACAGGTGCTCTGTCACATCTCAGACACCACCGCACCCCACCCAATATCCTGTGTATAATTCATGCTTTCATAAATCAAAATGATCCTACCGTGATGGCTGAGCAGAACCATTTCCACCAGAATGATAATTATCAGACTTTGCATCGGCGGCTTGTGCCCACTACATTCCATCTTGTCTGGAATATAAAAAAAAACACTCGTTCGTAAATCAGATGTAAGTTTAGATTGGGTGAGCAATATTGGACTGACGCTTTATGTTAGGCTGTGATACATTTTGTTCGGGTTTGTTTTGTTTTGTTGTGATAGATTTGATGGGTGTTGTGTGTGTTCATCCCACGGACAAAACATATATCATTTATGATAAATCGGTACGTGGGTAAATCATAATTCATTTAAAAAGAATATTGCAGAATGATTATATCCAACACTGTCATTTAGAATGGTTTTCAAACGAGGAGTATGTGTATAAGATTTTAGCATTATTCCAACAATATCACGGCGGGGTATATCAGAAAGACATTTTCCCCGAACGAGGCTGTAGGGTCTTCGACGAGCGCTTTAACAGTTAGATTTGTATCGATTTTATTGTATAATTGATGGCAGTTTTATTCACATTAGTTATAAGATGGATTGCACTGAAATAGACAAAAAAAGTCATTTATAATTACCTTACACGTTTAGTAAGTCACTTGCCATAATCCATCGGATGTGTTGTCCGAGTGTATATTCCCCTTCAAAGATACTCTCCTCAAACTGAAGATATACAGACCACCCCAACTAACGCCAGCGTTAACATAGCGCGTTGCAGCTGTGATCGTTGGCTGTGCTCAGGCGAGGTTGCGCCTGTGCATGATTACGCTGATAGTGTGTTTGCCCGGGAGAGGTAGATTTCTTGGAAAGCTATCATGACCTAATTCGCCAACGTGCTAAACATAGCTGTGGTATGAGCATATGTCCAAAGTAATATCCTGACCGGATGAATGTTATATACCTGCACAGCAGAGTTGATTACATATATGGGGACGTGGCAATAGGTACGTTCACTTTCAAAAAGCGAGAGTGAGTGAGTCAGTGAGAGTGTGTCAGTGTGTGTGATTGAGTGTGTGAGAGAGAGTGAGAGAGAGAGTGAGAGAGAGAGTCAGAGACAAAATAGATAATTTTCTATTATAACCTATAATCCATATTTGTATTCTAATACATATTCGTTGTGGTATATATAGGACATTATGTAATGACTGAATGAACGTCTCCGGACACTTCGTAACCCCGGCACTGTTACAGTTACACCTATTACACAACATATCTTTAACTTTAACCATAGTACATGATAGTATAACAGTCTGAAATGTCTATAGATATACCAGGTACTCGTTTGGAAAACGTCATTTGTGTCTCAGGATCATAGGGTAAACATTTGGATCTCCCTTTCCAGTTCAGCTGGGGAGACGAAACTCAGCCCTTATTGCGCAGTACGCGTGTGAACCTGTCTGTGTGGAGCTCTCCGTTCAGCTGACTTACCTTTAGGGTGAGTAGTGGCATCAACGTTTGGTATATATATATCCGTTGGGTATTAAACGTTGTCACCGGGTGAGGTTTACAGTGGAAAACACAAGACCTACACCGTCCGCCTTCACAGTAGGTGGAACCATTTTGTATCTACAGGTCATCCTGACGTAGTGGTTCTATTTTCAGAACACACATATTGCCTTGGTGAGTATGGGACTACATTGTGGTAGAGAGTTTACTTTTGTATGAATCGTCGCTGGTCCTATTAATGGTGCTACGTTGATGTTGATGTAGGTGAGTATATTGGCAACAAATTGACCAGTAATGTGTATCACAACCCTTGGAAAGGCTACTTGTTTGCAATTTACCAGGTCGGGTACATTTGAGAGAGGTGGCCGGACCACAGGCAAACACCCTGGCTTTACATCTTACAAGACAGAGCATTATGTATAGATGGACCATTTGATTTGACACCTTACATGGCAGTAATATCATGTATATATGCGCTTGTTACAAGCTAAAGGATATTTTGTTCGACAATGAGGGCTGGTGGAACGGGGGGGGGGGTTGGGGCTGGGGGTGGGGGTGGTGTTGTACGGAACTTTGCTCACAGCTCTGCCCACCACATTTCACACATTATTAATATTTTGCCCACTATATTCTTATAACAATATTTAAAGTAAGTATGCATTATGATATTGAACTACACAGAAACACTATATACAATAGTACATTTATAAAGTAAAAACAGTTTTAGTTCAGTCTAATACATGTAAATAACACTTTAAATAGCACTTTGACCATTTTAGTTCAGTCTAATATTGGCACCAACAGTGCAAGTAATGTTTGATCTCTTTTAAAACTATATATCCTTAGCAGTGTGAGCACTAAGGTGAGTGAGTAGTAGGGTGAGTTTTGATTGTAATTAGAAAAGGAGATCCAAAGCAGCAGTAAAGTGCAATTAATGTTTGATCTGTTAGTTTGGGATTTGGGGTTGGGATAGAGCATTGTGTTAACTCATACACTATCTCCTCTCATCATGTCTTAGCGAGTCAGTCTTGAAATCGAATGTAGGTTGCAACCCCAACATATGTACACGGTGTCAGCTAGTGTTAGTAGAGAATTAATTCAAAACCATCTTGAGATGTTCGTCAAACAACAAAGAGGAAATATAGATATTTGACTTGTAATAGTCGATGCAAACTTAGTGTAAGGTATTCGCGAAACAATAAAGACACAAACTCTACCTGACAATGGAACTTTTCTTTTGCCTGTAGCATAGCAGTACTTCAGCCATGTAACGACGGCATGTAAACAAGCCAGACAATCAAGTGATCTGTAAATAAACACCAAACAGAAGTATAAGAATATTATTTGTAATATTCACATATACACACATAGATGTATACATATACACATTTTGTGATGTATCTATCGAAGTATAGAAATCATATTCGTAATATTCAATCTACTCGGGATGTGAGGTATTCACTAAGGACAAAACATAGAAGTAAGAATTGTAATATTCAGTATGCACAGGTTGTGAGGCCTCTGAGAAACAACGAAGAAGAAACATAGAAGTGGGAGACAACACAGAGGGAATATAGCAATGTGACATGGAATATTCATTATACACAGGGTGTGAGACATTTGTGAGACAACACAGAGGGAATATAGCAATGTGACATGTAATAATCATTATACACAGGGCGTGAGACATTTGTGAGACAACACAGAGGGAATATAACAATGTGACATGGAATAATCATTATACACAGGGTGTGAGACATTTGAGAGACAACACAGAGGGAATATAGCAATGTGACATGTAATAATCATTATACACAGGGTGTGAGACATTTGTGAGACAACACAGAGGGAATACAGAGTGGAATATAGCAATGTGACATGGAAATATAATAATCATTATACACAGGGTGTGAGACATTTGTGAGACAACACAGAGGGAATATAGCAATGTGACATGTAATAATTCATTATACACAGGGTGTGAGACATTTGAGAGACAACACAGAGGGAAGATAACACAGAGGAATATAGCAATGTGACATGTAATAATCATTATACACAGGGTGTGAGATATTTGAGAAACATACACAGAGGGACAGAGGGAATATAGGTGTGAGATATTTTGAGATATACACAGGGTGCAATGTGACATTTGAGAAACAGCATAGAGCAATAGTGACATGTAATAATCATTATACACAGGGTGTGAGACATTTGAGAAACAACACAGAGGGAATATAGCAATGTGACATGTAATATTTAATTAATCTATTCTGTTTACCCATGTGATTACTTGCCATGATAAGGGTAACCCATATACTATAGAAAAAGAGGCACACACAAATACATACAAGCTGTCACGTGAGGGCCACTCCTTGTCTCCAAGCTTTCCGCGTAACCCTGTCAGAGAGGCGAGATATGTAGGCGAGAGGCCCGGGATTCGAGAGGGAAGTGATCTACAGTTTGAGAGCGGGGATACATGATGTGATTTCTTGGATCTGACATGCAAAGTAAGAAAATCCTACCGTACAACGTAGATAATGCTTGATAATGTATTATGGAAAAGGGAAGCGGAATCTCATTTTGATTCCCTGTCGCTGTGCCTCGTTATGATATCATGTATTAGTGACGTATGCTATTTTTCGAGCCTGCCCATTAGAAACAGCAATAGCCATTCTAGATTTATATGTCGACATGGGCAATATCTAAGGATTGCCTAACGGATTTGTGGATTTATCAATGGATAACTGTCTCAAATTGTATAAAATTGCATTGAGTAAAATCCCGCGTAGAGATACATCCATTATGAATACCGTTCCATTGTGTTCGCCTACCCTTGCGATAGGCGAGCCTGAGGTGACACCAGGGAGATTGCGACTCAGTTTGTTAGGTGGTTGTTAACATTAATCATGGACAGGTTTGTATTCCATTCTTCAGTGAGCTCATATCTCATGAAATGCATTATTATTATTTATGATGGAGGACAGACTTGTCAGTTGGAAAGTTATTAGTTCTTCAAAGTTAGTGTCCATGTCGGGGGAATTCAAACCAACTCGTCAGTATTAGTTTTCTCTTCTACGAATAGGGATAAAACAGTGGAGATAGGTTCAGATCGACCATGTCCATGCCAAAGCTGACAAACTGTGATAATAATCTTACACAGTGCTTAATATTGGGTTTATTTACAACATGTAATTCCAGTTTTTAGAAAACGTCTCACTTCATACTATTGACATAGATATTTACTTAGGGATATATTGCATCGTTTAAAGACAGAATTGTTTTTATCTCTGATCGGATTATAATATACTCAGATTCAACTGTTTTATGTTCTCATAGGAGTTACCAATTCAGGTAAAATGATATTCACCGTCTCTCCCTAATACACTTTGGTTACACTTAACCGCATCCATTGTTAAATTCCAACCTTAACCACATCCACAGGCTTATAATGACATCTGTATGTATCATATTCCTAAATACCAGTATGTGTGGATTTAATCTCTATGACGGATACAATCACTATGAGCTACAAGGGCAATATCGTTTGCATGAAGCAGTGAACTTATATGTAGCATAGTCCTACAGTTGTTTGTCCGACATGTCCGACAGTTAATGTCAAGAAGTGTAGGTGACAAACCACTCCATAGTTGACAAGACATTTATCAGCAGAGATGTCATTGATGCATAAACAAAACCATGCATCCACTGTGTATTCCTTGTTGCTTACACATTTTAGATTGACGATTTATATACAGTTACATACATACATACACACACACACACACACACACACACATACATACACACACACACACATACACACATACATACATACATACATACATACATACATACATACATACATACATACATACATACATACATACATACATACATACATACATACATACATACATACATACATACCAAGATCATTACGTTCTATCAATTTAATGGGAATTGAATATCAACTCGAAGCAACTGTAATAGAACAGCACGTGACATACTAATTTACATATTTTCTTTTTTTCTTCTGTTTCTGCTGCATCGGTTTGATATCCATGGTATACAATTACTTTGGTGACTGGGGACAAGCGTTAGGAATGGTTTCTAAAGTGCAACTGAATGGGACAGTTTAAATCTCATTAAATCTTATTTAATCTCGCAAATACTATATATACAATCAACACTATCAAAACAAATCTGCAGTTTATAATGTAATTTTCATGATTTAGTAATCTGAACAACAAAGCAAAGCAATCTGTGCATGAATACATACCATGAAAGCCATTTAAAAATTAAGTATTTATAAGGCTGTTTCGCGGTTAAAATGTTGTCATATTCATATTTTCTGCATTTGATCTACATTTTGTGAAAGCATAATTGCTTGCAATAGATTTGTCAGTACAGCTTTTCATCGACAAAAAAACATCCAAGGCAGGTAGATAAGAACAGTATGAAGTAATTAATTATGAATATTTCTAGGTACTGATGACGTAAAGTGAACGCATTACTGAGTAACATCAGTGCTTTAGCCCTCACTATACTCCATTTTAATCAATTACTGTAGCTTAGCCTCTGAAAATATTAACATAGAGGCTCCTAGGAGCTTATCAGTGACCCTTTTCAATAAGTTTCGCTGAGAGGAGAGGGAAAGGGGAGAGAGAAAATCCGGCTGTTGGTTTGAAAGAACCTTTGTTCTTGACTGATGTTTCCCCCTCATATTTAGCGATTGCTTGGGATTGCAATTCAACCATATAGTGGATAGTCAAAATTAAAGTATGAAGACTTACCATGAACATTTCTGGCGATTCTTTAAACTGTAGTTTGTGTTTATCAAAACACTTCCTGATTAGTCTGTCTACGTGAGTCTTTGTTCTCTTGCCGCGTGGTTGGGATCTGATGCGTGTCCTTGTCACAGCTGACTCACTGCTGTTGGGAGTTAGCACTAAGGGGTTGTAATAAGGGGTGCGGTGGATGGGTGGAGTTTATTTTTAAGAAGGGCTAGTGGTAGGGGTGGCTGTCGGGTGGGAAATGAAGGGTTAAATATGTGTACCTGAAAGATGGGTAGAGGAGCTGACATCATTAATGCACCCTGATCACTAAGAAATAGTCCACTGTAGGTTATTGAGTGCGTGAGTATGGTTTTACGTCGCATGTAGCAAATATTCCAGCAGTTTTCCAGCAATATTCCAGCAATATACCAGATAGCGAATGGCTATAGAATGACGTTGTGGCATTTCAGTTGAATATGAGGAAAGTTTTTCACTTGTAAAGAAATTTCCTGCAGCATATTATTCAATATAACCACAATGCCGCGCAAAACGGTCGTTAGAAAATGCAGGACATGGTGACATATATTGTTACAAGTCACTGTCGTATTCAGTGGAACGGTGAAATGTTATAATTCGAAGGTACCGAGGTTTACAACCAATAACACATATTCGTGCAATTAAACAATATACGACAGTTACTCAAAAGAGCGGAGAATTTTTGAAATGACTTTATTAATACCAGATTAACTAGTCGGGTGCTTTCTCTAACTTCTTTCGAGTTGTATACATGTGTCCAGCCGTGGAGTTGCGTTACCAAGGACCTTTGTTCAATAATCAGAGTCGCCATGATGATTGTAGCTGGTCATGCCGTTGGCGCAGATTGATGCTCCTGATATCAACCACTAGATTTTTAGGTCCGAACTCGATTATTTACAGCTCGCCGTCATGTAGGTCATATATTGCTGAGCGCGGCGTTTAACAAACCACTAATAACAAAGCCCGTGCTTGTGGGTTTAAAAAAACTCTGCAGTCCTGTAAACTCAACCCATTCACTTCATTACTCACGCATGACAAAGTAACCAGCAATGTATCAGCTGTATGATAAACATTGGACATCTTCTATCCTCAACATCGTTGTAAAGCTGATTAACTTGAGAAACATTTAATTGTTTGTTTTGTAGGGGGTGTCTGAAATGTTTCAAACACGTAATGTTTACCAATAAATCTTGCTAGTTTGGAAATATTACATTATGACGCAGCTTAAGTGTAACTTAGAAGAAATAAAGGGTTCAGAGGCACCTTAAAAACACGGCATTCGATATTCTTATTCCAGTTACGTCATTTCCTTTCAAGTACAGTATCAGAGATATTTAACAGGGAGTGTTAGTGTTTGAATCTTAATATTGTAACAAGGCTGAGTCTTTAGATCATCCAAATAGTGTTCTGTAACATTATCGTATGTATGTATGTATGTATGTATGTATGTATGTATGTATGTATGTATGTATGTATGTATGTATGTATGTATGTATGTATGTATGTATGTATGTCTGTATGTATGTATGTGTCTGTATGTATGTATGTGTGTCTGTCTGTCTGTATGTATGATGTATGTGCGTGTGTCTGTCTGTCTGTATGTGTGTGTGTATGTATGTATGCATGCATGCATGCATGCATGTGTATTTAATATATGTGTGTGTCTCTGTGTGTGTCTGTATGTGTGTGTGATATCCTTTACTGAACTCTCTTTCCTGTGTCTTTCCTTTGTATCTGTATGTATGTATGTATGTGTGTGTGTATGTCTGTCTGTCTGTATGTATGTATGTATGTATGTATGTGTATGTATGTGTATGTATGTATGCATGTATGTATGTGTCTGTCTGTATGCATGTATGTATGTATGTATGATGTGTGTGTCTGTCTGTCTGTCTGTATGTATGTATGTATGTATGTGTGTATGTATGTATGTATGTATGCATGCGTGCGTGCGTGCGTGCGTGTATGTATGTATGTATGTATACATGCATGCATGTGTATTTATTATATGTGTGTGTCTCTGTGTGTGTGTCTGTGCATGTGTGTGTGATATCCTTCACTGAACTCTCTATCCTTTGTCTTTGCAGGAGCACCATGGGATATCTGCCTGTCCTGCTTTGCTACTTTGGACTGCTGACGCTTATCTGTTACAGTAAGTGCAAGAGCTTGCTGTCACGTGTCATTTATTGGGCCGAAACTATATCGAGTTCGAGAACATCATGTATATTTCATTAAAGATAACTTGCCACCACTTTCGTAATATTACCACATTGGACATCCACATGTGAAATTTAGCTACTCCATTCAATGTTATTTGGGTGTTTAAGTAAATCTGATATATGTATGAATTACGATTATCTGTGGTCCAACCAAGACCAAGAGCAGATAATGTGCGTTGTATAAATCATAACGATTTGTTTGGGTGGCATTCTGGAAGTTGGTGGTATAGAGATGACAAAACCTTATGGATGATGTTAAATATAGAAGTTGATCATAAATAAAGTTTTGTCATCTCTAAATTATAACGTATAACACTCATCGGACGCTTTTCCTGTTTTCAGGCCCCAGTAATGCTCGGTCTTGCGAGGATAGATATGGAAGGAACTGCTATAGTTGTAATGATGAAGAATGTACCGGATGTCATACGGGTTATTGCGGTTCAGTTTGCACTAATAACTGTACTGGATTCTGTAAATATGACTGCCACAAAACAAACTGTTCTTGTAAAGCATGCGCTGATGGATACCAAGGGGATGATTGTTCATCTTCTTGTTCTGGACGCTGCTACAAGGTAGCCGAAGGTGCGAGTCCACTTTGTAAAAGAAATGGGACGTGTTCAGACGGGTGTAACTATGGATTTTGTTTACCAAACAAAGCCTGCAGCACACGTTGCAGTAATTGTGTCGATGATGATTGTGACTCTGATACTTGTAAGTGTCGCAAAGGTCGTAAACCTGATTTTGAATCTTGTGGTGAAACGCCCAAAGTTCCATCAACTAACTTTGAGAATTGTAGAAAACAAACATGCAGGGGAGGTGTGTGCATAGACTGTAAAGATGGGTACTTCGGAGAGTACTGTCTGAAGAAATGTACCAACTGTGATATATGCTATCAACTTGACGGTGAATGTATACCACAATACAGTGAGTATTGTATAGTCTCTGATAACAGATTACATAATTCACGTTTATGTATATTTTACTTGTGTCGTCAGATTTAACAAGTGTGTTAGTTACGATTGTCAGTAATGTGTAGTTACGATTCTCAATAATGTGTAGGTTTTAGTACCTTTTTGGTTCAGTCCCATTCGAACCGACATTCCCGTGTCACTCTTTTGGCTGCCATCTTACTTGTCTGGCAAAGCCTTCTAAATCTCAGGATATGAACCCGTTGAACCATCTGTGGGATAAACTCGATAATGTACGTTGCTGTCAACATATTAAACAGACATTTGCACAGCTGACCCACACCATGCGGGGAGAAAGAGTAGAATTCTACTGGTCAGAATCAGTTCACTTGTTCAGTCTTTGCCAAGGGGGTGTAGATCAGCAAAAACTGGTGGTCACTCCACCTACTGTTCTCATGATCGAACGTGTCATTAGGTCTATAGAACGTGCGGCACCAAACCAACTTTCAACATCCTTGTATCAATCAGCAGTAAAAGTAAGCACATGCCTTTCTTGAGGTGTAAAACACATATGGACGGCCGTTCGGCCAAAATATACATCATCTGAAATAATGGTCAAATAAATAGTACGCTTAACATGAGGTAGTTATGAAAAAGGTGTTTGCTAAAGGGTGAGCGCATTCTGCCACAACGTAGGCACCTACCACACACACATGCATAGGCAATTCACATTAACAACGATGGGAACAAATTGCACAAGTCAAAATAGAGAACTGCATAAGGCATCTTTTGAAATTCATATTTTGAAATGTAATCCACGTCCATACTTAAACTGTGAAGACTTTACTAGGCCTTCTTGAATGTCCCGGGGCGGTGGGGTATAGTGATTTAAGCGTTCGCTCGTCACGCCGAAGATCCGGGTTCGATTCCCCACATGGGTACAATGTGTGAAGCCCATTCTGGTGTTCCCCGCCGTGATATTGCTGGAATATTGCTAAAAGTGGCGTCAAACTAAACTCACTTACTTGAATGACATAGCCCTGATCAAATATGCTTGAATGTACTTCAAAATTGAGTCACGAATGGCTGCAGCTAATCGATTAATGTTTGTATTATGAAAGGAAAGCAGGGACTGTTGAGAACACGAAATTTTCGGGGCAGTATTTGTGTTTGAATAGTTATGCAAAGATCAAAATCACCTGTGGTTTCTGATATTTCAAGTTTACGTAGGTAAAACAGTGAAAGGGAATTGGCCATTTCTGGGGATATAACGTTCACGTTTGTAAAACCATCACTTTTGGATCTGTTTTTCCATGTTGAGCGTGTATGTATTTACGGACAATTTCAAACGGCTCGCTTCATTGACATTTAAAGATTCCTTATATTGTGAATGGATTTGACATCGTTTATCCTTGCGATTAATACATTCCCGTAAGGTGTTATGTTGAGTCAAGTCTTATATTTATAAACGTAATATTCCCAGAGAAGCATGCCAGTCCATCTTTGTTTCCAACCATCCATCTTGCAAATTCTTTTTTCATTTATTTCAGAATACGGCTTTAATGTGTGTGTCGGATGCACAATAGCTACAGCTGTTGGTTGCTGTGTGCTTGGAAGTCTATTCCTTTACTACTTTTGCAAATACCGGCACCGGCATGACCCCCCGGGATCGATAAATTGAACATTACCTCGTCGCTTGGCAGATTCCATATATAGGTTCTTGGCCAACTTACTGCCGACCACAGAGGATTGACCGTTTAAATGGAAATGCAAACTCAAAAGGGGAGAGGCACACCACAGCAAAATTTAGCTTCAGATCTCCCAGTTGTTTGCCAAAGACACGCACAGAAAATACTTTAAGAACTATTCGGAATATTCTAGCATTGTTGGATAAATTCTCGGATAATGGAATAGAATGGAATTCTGAGTAGGCGAGTGACACTGAAACTATGGTAGCAGCATCTCTACTAGATGCCTTATACAAACAACGCACATTTCAATCGTGTTTCGCAAGTATAGTTTATTGACATGTACGATACTGACATTTAAAGAGTGAGCGATACTGACATTCAAAGATTAAGTGAGTGCGTGAGTGAGTGAGTGAGAGTGAGTGAGAAATATTACACCCATACTGATGGTATGTTAACCCACTTGCACAGAAATATGTTTAAAACCAGTTTTAATATATCCCAGGATGTCTCTGGGCGACATGGCGATGACCCTATTTAGTCAAATTTCCTTTTCCAACATCAATGTCTTTTTTCGATTTTTATTTTCTTGGAATCCAAAACATCAGCATTTTCTTAATTGTCGACAACTAGATAAATGATCAAAATCGGCGTTCAGGATACCTGATATGATGTCACGTAATATTTGGTTAATTCGACCAGCTAAAACTTTCCATGATAAGAGACTTGTTTCCAAGACACATTATTGTGATTGTTGACGTGACACAGTATTACACAAATAACTTTAATCTTATGAATGGATTCCGATATTAATTCATGTATTAATTAATTGCTGTTATAACAAATATGGAAAGCGTATTAGTAACGCAATATAATGCAATAGAATCTACATAGATGATGCTTAATCTACGTGGACGATATCACTTTCCTCAACGTAGATAGTACTTACATTTAAATAGATTATTATCTGTCTCACGGTCCCTAAACCATATTATCTGACTGAAGTGACTTTCGTGTTGTATTATAAATTTCAAGCAATAGCCATTCAGAGTTATATTTCTTTGAAAATAGTCCTAGACTATTTTTATCTACGTGTCGTTTGTGCTTAGATAAGGCCCAGTCGTGAACATGGCCACGAGAAGGGTACGAGTCGCCATCCGGCTTGCCAGATTGACACGACTGGTTATGAATGAGGAACTTTATCGCCCGAAGGGATATAACTCTTGTTGGCTCAAGACTATGTTTTAAGAGACTTTAAATTTCAAATAATACCGCCGTTTAAAAAATATCTTTAGTACCAATCTATTTGCACTTAATGGATTGAAAATAGCATATTCTCAAAACAGGTTTGATGAAAAGACCATTTGATGATAATAATAGGTGAACACTCCAAGTGAATTGGATTCACATTTTGCCCTTTGTGCTTTTGATCTGGTGCGGATGCTGGTTTTTGCACCTGCCTCCAACAGACTGCGGTGGCTAATACACAGTGATTAGTCACAGGTATCCATAGTTTGAAGTTTCTATATTTGTCTGTCTGTTCGTATGTGTCACTGCGATGAAAATATGTTATGTGAGTGAGAGTCGCGTGTCTTCCAATTGTAGCTAGGTTGCACTCCCTACAAAGAAACGTTTCTACCAAGACTCAGGGGAGACAGCATTCGCCTCCACTCGCCCCTTTCCGTAACCTCCAAAAAGATATTCGGTTTGTCCCGGAATAGGTCACGAATGAGGAGACAGGCAGTTGGCTACTTATTGAAGCTGGACTAAACTAGTTCTACATGGATCAGATTGAAAACTGAGGATGAAAGTGACACTAAATTATCACACTAAATATATTAACCTATCTATAGATGAACTATATATCTATATCTCTATTATCCATATAATTTTGTGTTTGGATGTAATGTGGGCGCAAATGAGTGGCAAATAATTCCATCAATCAATCAATCAATCAACCAATCAATAGATTATACTTTCTGTTGGGCAAATCCATTAAGCAGTCGCAGGTGACAGCATGTAGTTAATCTGTGCACCGGACCATAACGTGTTGTTTTGAGCTGTAGTTCTTAAGGGATGTAGTTTTTAAACATGATACCCCCCTACTATTTTCCCTTATTGCTTTCTCTTTGTATTATTGCCAAAAACGGTTGGTTTAAAGAAAATAGCTATATTGTTAAACTCCATTGTATATTTAAACTGGTAGCTATATCTACGTATATCTATATGTACATGTACGTGTGTGTGGGTGACCGGTCAAAATCCACAAAATCCACCTCTTCTTAACAATTTTTTTTTACAAAATCCACCCTCCTCAAATTGCTATTGTTAAAAGTTTTAGTGTGTCCTGATCTTTGATCAAGTTGTTTTGCTCAAGCATTGCAAGCATTGTTTTGATAGCATTTACGTTTTCCTAATTGGCTGTTGTTCCTAGATGTTGTTTCAAACATTAAAGGTTTCTCCATTTGTCACATTTTGATCACTACTTAATCCTCTTTCATGTATCACTAAGTAGTCTCACACTTTGATCATTACGTAATCCCCTTAAAGAATTAAGATGTTTTTGCAAGCCTGATTGGAACCCTTTATACTCATGTTTTGATAGAACATACTTTTTAATGAGTTTGAGATCATCCTGTTTAGTGTAAATAAGTTTGAGATCATCTACTTAAGATAAAGGCTTCTATAGTATATATATATAGTTTGTGTCAAAAATGCAACTTCACCATACATCATGGAAGTGATACGGAACCACAAGGGTGGTTCGAAGTTGCTATATCAGGGTTATTTGTACATAAAGAAAGAGAGCAAGTCAACAATTAGGTGGGAGTGTTCCCAAATGAAACCGCTGTTTCGCAAGGGTTGAGTGACCACAGACATGGGAGTGAAGAATAAAGTACTGACAACCGACCACTGCCACACACCAGACCCCAGCGCTACCATGGCCCTTAAGTTGCGGTCAGAGATGAAGCAGAAGGCCAGTACATCCCGAGAGACCCCAAACCGGGTTCTTCCCATAAGAAAAGAACCAGAACCACCACCAAACGTCTCCAAGAACGCCTTGAAGGTCTGTGCAAGACCTACAATGCGAAGGAAAACACACTCGAGGACTTTCTCCACGGCGTCGGCCGTTGTTCGTGTTGTTGAAATGTGGCAAGATGTTTAGTCATAGATATGTCTGAATGTGTGAAAATATATGCTGTTGTCATATTTTTATATGTATTGATGCATGAATGATTCATAAATGTGAAAATGTGCAATTGAGAGAGATTGACAGCGACATAACAAAGACAATAAACAACGAATGTGGTACGAGATCAGTGGGACTATGCTAAGCTTACTCCATTATGCAATTATATTGCATGCATGTGTGTATATATGTGTGTATGTGTGTATGTATGCATGCATGCATGCGCGCGCGTGTAAGATAGAGAGAGAGAGAGAGAGGTGTTTATGAGATGTTACGTATATATTTTTGTATATGGGTGTGTATGCGTTTGTATAGGATGTTTAAGAGAAAAATGGTAAATGTGGTGTATGACTGAGGTGCTAATAAAATGTCGAGTGTTGATTTATTTACTTCTTTTTGTAAAAACAAACGTAACTTGACAGATTTCATTTCCAACTTGCATAGAGTCTCATTGCCAAGTCTCTCTTTAATGACCTTCTGTAATTATCACCTGTCTGTCAGGTTCTAATACACAGATCCAAGGCCAGAGAGATTCGACAGTGTAAGACATATGGGCATTTGTGAGTTAAAAGAATGTGACTCGTTCCATTGTATCAAAACTCTGTGTCCGGAAATATGCTTGTTTAATTTTCATTGATCTTGTGTAGTCACTTGGTGATGTCGTAATATAGTAATATAGTGTGGCCCTATTCCTGGGTAACCCCAGTTTTTTCAGTCTGTAAATCATCCCCTGACCACTTCACCGTTGAGGTGAAACAGAAAGCATTTATGTTCGCCATTATTACTTCAGTTAAAAAGGTTTGAATTGAACGCCAAACAGTGAGTAACTAACTGGGTTTATTAGGTTAATGTCAGCAATTTACTGTGGCCAAGTCATGTTTTAATCATTATTAGTTTCAAAGTTTATAAGTTTCAATTTTAAGTACTTGTATAATATAACAATTATGCAATTACTCAATTAACAATAGCCACCCTACTGGGTGAGACCAGGTTCTGACCCATGCGTTTACACTCTGCACAAACTTCTTTTGTCCTTCTGGCTCAGTTTCTCTGGTCAGCTTGACACCTATTGTCTGTTTCGTTTTAAAGGTGGCTGTCACACATAACCTGTTGGCAGTCACATAGATCTTTCTGGAGGATGAGATCACTATGATTTGTGTTTTCGTGGAACATTTCTGGATTGTAATGAGGATCTTATTATTCAGGTCAGTGCATATATTGTATGGGTATATATGGTATTGTATATATAGTGTAGGGATTAGGGCTTCAACGAGTCCATTTTTTTGGACTCGAGTACTCGAGGGGTGAGACTCGACTCGGACCCGAGTACTCGAAATTCATACCTTTCAAACAAACGATTGCGCAACCGGAATGACGTGTTCCGATCACACAAGTGAACACTTACTTCTTTCCGTCTACATATCGTCATGTGACTAACATTTCCTATTGGTCAGAATCAGTATTTGGATGTTTACTTGACAAACGTTTTTTTACTTCGTACTTCTTGTACTGCCTGCAAAACGCAGTGAGATACCGCACAGGCGGCATTTGGTTATTTTGCTCTTTTCACTATCCAGATGAAGATACGCCCATACGTTTGATTTTTTTATCTTTCTCCATCTCTATCAATTGTCAAGATAGTTACCTAATCATTTTAAAAAGTGAAAACTCAAACGATGTATAATATTTACTCTCATCTTCAGACTTGTAGCAACTAATATCATACAGCCACACCGTGTGAGGAGTAAACTATTTAATCTGGGTGTTAATAAAAACATTATCAGATGGGTTAAAGAATTCAGGGTACATAGAACTCAGTATGTCAGTATCAATGGCTATCAATCTTCTTTGCTCTCAACCTCTACTAGAGATCCACATGGCTGTGTTCCTTCATCCGTACTCTTCGTTTTGTATACCAATGACTGTTACTTGTCAATATATGACTTGTTTACTGTGAAATTTGCAGATGATGCCACTGTTACTGGCCTAATTTCTGATTCTGAACATTATTATCGTCAAGGCATTGACAAAACCGTAATGACAGTTTTTTTATCAAACCTTTATTCAAAGTGTGTTGACCTACAATTTTCTATGTTGGTATGGGGATCTGTCTCATCGCAACAAAAACAAACTTTTCAAAATTGTTAATACTGCTTGCAAAATTTCTGGAGTGTCTTTCGAGTATACTCCCTTTATCTATGAGCGCCAGATTGTCAAAAAAGGGAGCTAAAATTAGATTTGATAGTTGATATATTTGATCTCACCATTTTGAACTACTTCCTTCTGGACGCGGCTGACGATTACCTTCCCTCAAAACAAACAGAGCTAGGCAGTCTTTCATACCATCAAGTATTCGTGAATGCAACAAATATTTTGAATCACCATCATGTGATTAGAACTAGAATTATTCAGCCTCTTTACCTATGTGGTTAATTGAATTATATCATGTCAGTTTTATTTGTAAATAGCATTCGTTTTGAGCATGTAATCATTGTGTATATTTTTGTGAACTGTGCATATATCCACTTCGAGACAGTTTGGATGTATAAGAGTTTCCTCCGGGATAATAAAGTTATATCTTAATATTAGACGTTAACGGCCGCTCATGCTTAGCACATGGCAGACAGTCTGTCAACGTCAAATAATCCGAGTTATCTTCCCTTTTCGAGTCCTCGAGTCCTTGAAAATGGACTCGAGTCCAGCTAGACCCGACTTGTCCTCGAGTACTCGAGTACCCGTGGAAGCCCTAGTAGGGATACATTTAACTGAGAGGGTTTGTTATATTTTGTCTGTAAACTTAAAATCTGACTCCTATACAATATACAATAACTATATACAATTCCTTAAAATTGAAACTTATAAACTTTGAAACTAATAATGATTAAAACATGACTTGGCCACATTACCACGAGAAACGACATGATGGCATTGTAGCAAGGCGTGGAGTCATCACACCATGATCTCCTCCTTGTCAGCTTGCTGAAAATGGAATTGAGACTACTAAGACTTCTGATTGGCCAACGCGTCACATATAACGGGCCCCCTAAGTGTGTGCATTCTTTTTTTTTTTTTTTTTTCACCCCACAACCACCACACACAGATTTACCTATAAACAAAATAATTAATATACATGAACTCCAATCTGCTCTCAGAAACAAACAGACAGCCTCAGCCCCGGGTCCAGATACCATTACATACACTATACTGAACAAATTAACACCTAACATGCAAATCTTAACACTTACCCTCTTTAATCATATCTGGACCTCAGGTACTATCCCAAACACATGGAAAACAGCCAAGGTGGT